CGGCCTGTCCCGAACGCCGGTTACCCTGTATATATATATATATATATATATATATATATATATATATATGTACGAAATGTGTTGGGACGTAGGTTGTGATCTGTGGTACTGTGCTTTCGCGTTTGCAGGTGCGTCTGGCCTTCCGCATCCATAGAGCCGGGGCATCAACATGGACCGCACACAACCTCCTGCGGCTTTGCCGCCGTCGCCGAAATCCCCGTTGCTTCCTACTCCTCTCTCTTCATCTCCATCCGCCTCACGCGCTCTCTCTTCTTTGCAAGGCTCTCCGGTGTTCCATGATATTTCACGGGGTCGAGGGAGAGGGCTTTTGGATCCACGTGGACGTACTCGAACCGATTGTATATTGGAGAGACCTGCAACCAGGCAGCGTTTGGATGACAGAATGGCGGTTTTCTCGTTCCCTCCTCTGCTGAATTCGACAACTGTCACACAAACTCCTCTCCTGAGTCACATGCGCGCAATCCCTCCTCTGCTGAATTCGACAACTGTCACACAAACTCCTCTCCTGAGTCACATGCGCGCAACCATTGCCGCAATCCCGGCTCTCCCCACTTTCGTTGGCGATCCCACAAGGTCTCCTTTTGCGCAATCCGCTGTGGTTTCTTCTCGTCCTCCATTTTCTTCGCCCATGGGCTCTCTCACATCGATGTTGTCGACGCCTTGGTCCACAAGTCAGACCATGTGCGGTGTCCAACAAAGTCGTTCGGACGCCGCGCATCCATTTGCTTTGCCGCGGTCGTTCCCGTATTCGGGCCATGACAACACCAGCGCGGTTCCCGTTGCGGGTGTCTTTGCGTCGGATCCCGTTCATCGAACAGAAGAGACACGTTCACTAATCGAAGCAGTGCAACCGGCATCATGCACTCCGGTTTCCACCAACCATGCACGCGATGTTCTTTCGCTGTCTAATGATAGCGAGGCTAGGATGAGTTTGTCGCCTCGGTCGCCCCGTACGAGGTCCAATACACCTCGTGAAGGCAAGCCTTGCTGGGTGCGATGCAGACTCGATCAGCAAAATCGACTGGGTGAGATTGGAAAGGCGATGAGGAAGGAGTTGTCGACTCGCATTCGCGGCTCCAAAGATAAGAAAAAAAATCATTGTTCTTACGAGGACGTGTTCGATCAGCTCCTCGAGTGGAGTTCCGTTCACATTGATAAACTGATGTCAAAGTACGGCCCCGGCGAGCAATCGTCTGGCCATGGGGGTTCATGCGAACAAGGATCGGATGCATCGGCGACACCGAAGCCAATAGGTGGTAGACCTCGAAGTGACGCTTTGAAATGGCGCGACGGTAAGCCAGGATATTCGGATAATGGTCCGATGTTTGAAAGGTTGACCGTGAGGGACCAAATGGCCATGTGGGATACTAAGGCTAGACCTGATGTCGTTTTCATTGAGCCGGTGAAACTTCTACAGATTCTCGGGATGTTCGAGCAAACGTGTCCTGAGCACGGGAAAAAAGTGGAGATGACGATCACGAAGATACATTATCCATGCCACATTTGCAAGTTGCAATTCGAGTGTGGGAAAGGGTGTACTTGGCACTGGAGTTCCGTGAAGGTTGTTTCACCGGGTGGGGTGAGAAATTCGAGGGTGAAGACTCAATTCTTCCACTCCACTTTGACTGCGGGAATGACTTACACTCAATTGAATAACCTCCTGCGGGGCTTAGGGATGAAGAAGGTTAGGAAAGAAACTTTCTATAATTTCTTCTGTGAGGACGGCCCAGGTTCCCGACAGTGGCTGCGACACGTCGAACGGGTTACGCAAAAGAGCTTCGACAAGATCATCGCACGATTGCGCAGGTCGAACGATCCGCTCGTCGTTTTGGTGGACAGGCGTTACGATTCGTCTTGTGACGCTCAGCATTGTACGGTGACGGCAGTGGATTTGAAGTCAGAAATGATCGCGGGGGCGGAGACCATGCTCCGGGGGAGCGAGTCGTCTTGGAAGTTGGAAACACAGTGTGTGGAGAAACTTCTTCATCGGTTGAAGGACGAGAAGAACCTCATAATCGCAGTGGTTATGCATGATGATTGTGGCGCGGTTGACGTCATATTGCGGCGAATGAACATTGAGTCGCAAAAGTGTATGTGGCATAAGGCGAAGACTTTGGTCAAATGCTTGCGAGAGGCTGTGCGCGGCACGAAGACTGTCGAACCAGTTGTGGTCGGGGCTTGCGAGCATGTGCGCGAGGTGAAGTATTTCACAAAGAAGGAGCTCGAACTTTGACTCAGAACAAAATGTGTACGCGAGGCAGGGGTGTCCACGAAAAAAAAGGATGAACTCGTTGAGATTGTTTGGGGTGTGCTCTTCCCCGACGAAGCAGGGAAGGCGTTGCCAGACGATGTCGTCGAGATCGACACGTTGCAAACACTGCATTGCAATGCGGCGGAGGAGGCGAAGGAGTGGTTGTACGGCGCTTGCAGGCTGCGCGAGTGAGCAAGGGATGACGATGGCGATGTGTTGGTCACTCATGTGCAACACCTCGCCAATCATTGGGCCGGGGATCATTCCCGTTGCGATAATGAGTTGTCCAACCTGTACAAAGCGGTCGGTGGTCCGGACAGAGAGCCATTATACGAGGCGGGTGAACAGTTCGCTTTTAATACGAAGATGGCATACTACACACGCGCGAGGATGACCTTCAACAACGAGTGCTTTCACTCCGTGATCAACAAGTACTGCACGAAACGCCTGAACTTCCCCAAGTCGTATGAGCCGCGTGTCTGTTGCACCGCTTTGGAGTGGAACAAAAACAAACGAATCAAGCGATTGGGCACAGTCTTCCTCAAACCGACAAATGTAACCCATCGACGTCGCTCCGCACAACAACATATATACGCCACCAGGGATACGTCGTGGTGCTTCGACATTGCAACTGAACTTTTCGGCAGCCCTCGGGTTGGAGACTGGGCACGTAACATGTTGCAGCAATCGGACATCGACGACCCAGTTATTGAGCATTATGATGAGGAAGCTGATTATGGACTCCCCGATGTCGTTGATAGTGCGGTGGAGGGTATTGTGGTCAAAGCTGACAATGTTTTCGTAAAGGCGGGAAGTGAAACTGCTTCAGATGACGAAAAGTTGTCTTCTGACTCCGACAGCGATGGTGCCGCTCACCGCCTCGACTTTGACGGCGCCTTGCTTTCGCAGGAGGTGTTCGTTGCGCAGGAGTGATAGTGTCACGTACTACATCGATGCCATTGTCGTCGTGATGATCATGGGAATTTTATGTCCTCGATTTGAACTGGTTGTAATTTTGAACTGGTTGTGAGAGTTGCTTTTCATGTTTACTAATTGTATATATGTTTTGTGTACACTTTGTAATAACGGGTTGTGGGAATATCTATATATATATATATAGAGAGAGAGAGAGAGAGAGAGAGATCATATGTAGATATGTGTCCCCGTGGCAAAATTGATACATGCAAAACAGTACGAACGTTTTTCTCTTCATCTCCATCCGCCTCTCTCTCTTTCTCTCTCTCTCTCTCTCTCTCTTTCTCTATCTCTCTCTCTCTCTCTATATATATATATATATATATATATATATATATATATAAATATAAATTTAAATATAAATATATATATCTATATATATATATATAGAGAGAGAGAGAGAGAGAGAGAGATCATATGTAGATATGTGTCCCCGTGGCAAAATTGATACATGCAAAACAATACGAACGTCTCTCTCTTCATCTCCCTCTCTCTCTCTCTCTCTCTCTCTCTCTCTCTCTCTCTCTCTCTCTCTCTCGTATGTCACTGGAGTCTCGACCAACTCATCCATCCTCTCGTCCAATCCTACGTATGTCACTGCAGTCTCGACCAACGAAGCCGAGCGTGGCCATGCAGCCTGAATCTGCGCCACATTCATACGCGAGGCTGCGGACCTGGTCGACGCGCCGCATGCGCACCCTGCCTGAAACGCCCCCCCCTGCTGTAGGTTCCGCACCGCCACGCATCGCCCCTGTGCGTAAAACTTGGTGCGGATAATCTGCAAGCAATGCTGCCAAAGTCAACGCCGAATCCCACACGATGGAATGAACTTGGCCGAGAAATCCTTGTCATTGCAAACAAAATATGGCACACTTACAACAAGCCGCCACACACAGTCCCGATAAATAGTGTCGTAGTGTGTTTCTAATATACGATACGCAAGTGGGTAGACAATATCATACATTTTATGTCCTTCGACAGGACTGAGAAGGCGGCTATTGAAGTACGTTATGGGCCTGGACATGAGCACCCGAATGTGGTCGATGGCATGATGATGAATGTAAGTCTCTGTTGTTAGTCTTATGACTCGTTCGTCTTCGACGGCGACAACAAAATGCCGATCCTTCATTTTGTGCCTGTCTTTGTACTCCAACACCTGCTCGACAGGCTCTGTAACCGAAGTTTGCGATTCGTAATAATAAACGTTCTTGCACGTACGGAGTTTCGTGGAATGGTAGCATTGGAAAATCATTGGCGCCAACCACATAGTCGTTACTTGCGAATGGGGAATCGATCCGAACACACAAAGCTTGACCGTTAGCAACAGAGCAACGGATTTGCATAATGCAACGTGAGGAACACAAGGTGTGTGTGTGTGTGTGTGTGTGTGTGTGTGTGTGTGTGTGTGTGTGTGTGTGTGTGTGTGTGTGTGTGTGTGTGTTGACAAAAAACGAGGTGTGAATGTCGCTTTCGTTTCCGCTGAATAGTCTATACATAATTGTTGCACACACACACACACACGCATCTGGCAGACGACGTACGATAATAACAACAATATATATTACAGATTTGTACGTCACATCATATGCATGTCAAACTCAGAGAGAGAGAGAGAGAGAGAGAGAGAGAGAGAGAGAGAGAGAGAGAGAGAGAGAGAGAGAGAGAGAGA